CGAAGCCTGAAGAGATTTCAGTATAATGACCGTCACGAAGTTGTTTGAAATTGGCCATTTTACATAAAGAATTGTAGAATTTAACAAATTCAGCATGAAGCAGGTTTGAAAACCGAAAGAAAAAAGCAAGTCTCATGTTGACGTTAAAGCAGAATATCAATAGAAATAAAATACCAAAATAAGTAAAAGCATCAGGGATATAATGCATTGGAAACTGCCACAATGATTTCTTTATCCGAGTGCAACGCCTGGTTTGCTGTATTCCTTATCGAGTCAGTTGCTATAGTAACAGTGAACCTCCTATCAATCATCCTTTTTATGAAGAATAGTAATCTTCAGACTCGTGGCATGTACTTGGCATATACTTGGTTATAAACCTAACAGTAGCTGATATGCTTGTTGGAGGATTTTCAATGATTGGTCTACTTCTGTTCTTAGGCACCGGACGCGACAGTGAGACAAACACAAGATCAACCTCTGGAATGTACATTACATCAGTTTTTGTTTTCCATTGGTTTCCAATGACTTCCCTTACGAACATTGCAGTAATTTCTTTAGATAGGTTACATGCGACATTTCTTCCATTCAAACATCGAGTTATCCAAACATGGGTCTACTGGGTAACAGCTGTTTGTGTCTGGGGTTCAGCTGCAATGGTATCAACTCTTATTGTGACATGGCGAGTTAACCTCCTTGGGAAAGAATGGACCCATTTTTTGTTTTTATGGCAGTCATACTGTTGTTTGTGTCTATTTGTTATCTGTGTTTCATACGCCTCCATTGTCGTTAAATTTCTTTGTGGGACGCATCCTCAGCAACAAGGTGCAGCTAACAGACAAAAAAAACTGACTATGACACTTTTCATAATGACTATTATAATGACTATTGTATCGTTATTGATATGGCTACCATTTGCTATAGGATCTTTCGTCTATCTTACATCTAATAGTATTTACTCCCTTTATTACCTAAAACACTTAAATGCGCGGTATGCTTTACTGGTTTTATCTTATGCAAACTCGCTCGTTAATCCCTTCATTTACACAATCAGAATGCCAGAGTTCAAAAAAGCTCTTCTGATGTTATTTAAACGTCGGCAAAAACAAGATGATGCTATGATTCGTCTTCAAGCCCGTTAGTGTACTTGGCACCTCATGCAAGGAAATCCGGATTCTGGAATTCGGAAAGATTTTGCTTGTGAAATTCGGAATCCAGGGCTTAGAATCCTGAATTCAGCTTAAGGAATCTGGAATTCCACAAACGATTTGAACCAGGAATCAAGTACCTGGAAACCAGAATCCAAGAGTGGCTGTTTTGTATTGCCTTTGATGGGACGAACCTTAAATTACACTATTTATCGTAACCTCAAGATGATTTCAAACCATATCGGCGACCTTATTACTCTAAAGGCTACTTATTATAAAAGACATAGCTTTACTACTAAGTTTGGAGTCGATAAAATTATAAATATCGTTTTGATACCTACTTAATAGTACGTTTCTCGGCCTTGTTTTGTTTTCAGTTACTAAAGATATGCTTTTTGCAATACTGGGAAGTGTTACTTCAGCGCAAGAAAGATCATCGTTTAAACTGCAGAAGTTGAGTCTCCGTTGATCATCTTTACGGTTTACGTTAATTCTTTATCTTACTTTCTTACTTGCAACCGATTAAAAGATCCTGGAAATCGAACAGTTTCGTTGTTGGAAGATCAACGTTAAGTAATAAATATGGGCTGCTCCGAACCAGTCGAATTCGAGCATTTTGTTATTGACACAGTTTTTATATGAAAATATTTAAACAGGGTAACCATGTAGGGTTCACGCTCTTTTCTGCGAGAAGGAGTAAGGAAATGTTGAAAGAATTAACTAGAAACAAAAGTGCCGTATTTTACGATATGAAATTGCTTTCCTAATAACGTTTGGGGCCTGGGCCTTGATCAGCAGAATTACATGCAGGTTAGAGTCGGTGCAACGTTTATATACACCACGAATAACAAATTAAAGCTTTGCAGTGCGCACGCGGCCAAGGGAACGGAAGTGATGATGATTGATGCCAAGTTGAAAAGTTTCCAGTTTAGAACCCAAGTGGTTCAATCCTACCTTGAAAACAGGAAACAACAATGCTTGATCAATAATGGTTTCCCTGCGTCGGAACGGTTACTTTTTCTGTTATGTAGAAACGATCTTCCAAACTATGCTAATTGCAAACAGATTTATTCCCCTCTGACCATCAGACGGCGTTTAGGAAACCTTTATTGTGATCTAAACAATATATTTATGAATAGCTCGAAACCAATAAAACCATCGAAAACAAAGTGCATGTTTATATCATCCAGGCAACAAAAAAATACATATAGAACAAAAAACTCCCCACCCTTTAATACTTTTTCTTATTGTGCGCTCCTAAATCCATGCAGTTTTAAGTGCGCATTAGCGTACGAGTTAGCTCATAGGAGGCGTTTTTAACTTCAATTGCTGAAAGAGTTGGATGATTTGTGCAATTTTCAGCTCTTCGTAAGCAATGAGGAAGAAAGTAGTAGCCATTTAAAACCGCGAAATTTCTGATTGGCCTAAACGTTAATAAGCCCATACATTCGTTGTAAAGTTTGAGTTTCTAAAGATAATTTCTTCGACAATATTCTGTGTATCGGGCTCAAATTTGCACAGATAACTAAAATTGGAATATTCTTTCGATGTTTAGACAGTTTATTTTATTTGCTTGATCAGAGAATGAAAGATATACGTTAATGAGGCAAAAAATATAAACAAAGATTCACCTATAGCT